TATTACGGTAATGGCTTCCATTGTGCCAGGCGCTGTACACTATTAGCTGTATTACGGTAATGGCTTCCATTGTGCCAGGCGCTGTACACTATTAGCTGTATTACGGTAATGGCTCACATTGTGCCAGGCGCTGTACACTATTAGCTGTATTACGGTAATGGTTTCCATTGTGCCAGGCGCTGTACACTATTAGCTGTATTACGGTAATGGCTCACATTGTGCCAGGCGCTGTACACTATTAGCTGTATTACGGTAATGTCTCCCGTGGTGCCAGGCGCTGTACAAACAGAACCTAATGAACCCTTACACCCGACTTGTTTTAAGTCTCTAAAGCGCTCACTGATCTGTCTGTCCCCATACACCTGCCTCCCTCTCTCCACCGCCCTGCGCGGCCCTCATCTCCGCCCCTGCCCCAGATGTCCCAGCTCCCTAACTCCCCCCACATGGGGTTCCCCTGAGATCAGAGCTGGGCAGGAAGTTTGGAAACCCGAAATGTTCAGCTGGGAGACCCAGGTTCAAATCCCCACTCTGCCAGACGTGGAGCAAGAGACCTGGCTTCCAGCCTAGCTCAGGGCTGTGCAGCTGGGTCTCCCTCCTCCCGGGGCGAGAGCGCTGGCCTGAGGGCCACTGAACGCTTTATACCCAATGGAACCGCTGAGGCAGGACAGATTCTGATTGTGCAGCCAGATGCGGGGGGTGGAAAGGCTGGTTCAAATCCCTTCGCCAAATCAGCTGGAACAGGGACTTGACCCAGCCAGCCCTGCCTGAGATCACAGGGGATTTGGGGGGGGCAGAGGAATTGGCATTGGGGGGGCAGAGGAATTGGCATTTGGGGGGGCAGAGGAATTGGAATTGGGGGAGCAGAGGAATTGCAATTTTTAAGTGAGGGGAAACCTCTCCCTACAGTTAAGCGGCCTAAGGGGGGGGGGGGTGATTGACAGCACAGGGAGGGGGCCTCTCTCTATTCTGGGCACAGGCACAGAACAGGAGGGGGTAAAGGCACCCACACACCCACCCACACACCCTTTTCAGTCCCCACAGCCCCCCCAGCCTTCTCCACAGAGACTGCCGGTGACAGGGGCTAATTAATGCTAATTGCACCTGAATATCCCCACTGAGGGGGGGGGCATTCACATTCAGCCCCAGCGAGCTCCATCACCCACCTCCCGCTTCCTTTCCAACGCTGGCTCCTGCCAATGGGCAGCCTCGCCCCCACTCCGAGCCACCCCCTGTGACTGTCAATCCTTAACGGGGTGGGGCTGGGGTAGATCTAACCCTGCCCTGCCCTTATATGAGCGGCACCAGTGTTCCCCCCACACACCCGCGCGGTCACTGGGGAAAGCACCCGGGCAGGGGCCTAGCAATCGCCGAGGCCCTGTTATTAGCGGATCCAGGGACGGAATGAGGTCTTTTGTATTCCCAATAATAACAACACACTCTGCAGTCACGGAATACCACCACCCAGCGATCGTTAGCCCCGTGTTACAGATGGGGAAACCGAGGCACAGAGCAGGGAAGTGACTAGCCCTGGGTTCAGCCAAGGCTCAGAGCGTGTTTCACAAATGGCTTCTGGCTTTCTGACAATGCCCCACTCGCCCCTTTTCGGCTTCCAATGTCAGCTGCAGCACCCCCCAGGGATCCGAGCCCTGGTCAGTAGGAAGTGGGAGCTCACGGACCCCCTAGCATCCCCTGGACCGATGCTGTCACCGGCCAACTCCCTCTCCAGCCCTGCTGGCTCCCACCCACTCCCACCTCCTGCTGGCTGGAAGACATCCCCCCCAGCCCCGTTGGACACAGTCCTGGCCACAGTGGCCCCTTTCCCTGTGTGCCTAGTGCATCTCATTGTATCTAGGGTGTCCTAGCTGGGGCAGAACGTGGCTCGCTGGGAACATGCCACCCCAGTGCCTGGATCTCTGCACTGGCTCTCCACTGAGCCTAAAGGCCAGCTGAGCCCCTCGTGACTGTGTAAATCTGACAGTGCGGCCTAGTGGCCAGAGCTCCCGACCAGGACTGAAGAGATTTGGGCTCTGCCATTGGCCTGCTGGATGACTTTGGGCAAGTCATTTTCATGCCTCATGCCTTGGTTTCCCCAGCTGCCAAATGGGGCTACGGATCCTGGCTTCCTTTGCACAGCGCTTGGAGAGCTACTGACGACAAGTTAATTATTCTTTTTAATTATCCCCATGTTCCCATCTCATCTGGATGCTGAAACTGTCAGCCAACAGCGGAGGGGGGGGAGGGGCCCGAGTGAGAGACAGAGCTGTCCGAGGACCCAGACCTGTGGAACTCTCTGCCACAAGAGATAAGGGACCTCAGGCCTTGGCACGATCAGAGCTGAATACAAAACCCCAGCTTCCTTCCCGTATGATCTTCACGCAGAGCGAGCGCCCACGCACACCCCCATTGCGCTTATCTCCTGCAGATGAGAGACTCGTACCACTGTTCATATTTTTAAAGATTCGGGAGGTTCCCAGAATAGCCACCGTCTTCATTCTGTTGCATTTGTTGAGAAATCGACCGGTCTTCCCCTCCTGGCTTCCGGCACTCAGAGATTTAGGGTTGTCCCGAGCATGGGGCTGTGTCCAGGGCCTGGAAAAACTCTCCCGTGGAGAGAGATTGAAAAGATCAGGGTTGCTTCCCTTGGGAGAGGCATAAGCGGGGACATGATAGAAACCTATAAAATATTGAGTGGTCCAGAGGAGGGAGATCAGGCGCTTCCATTCTCCTGGCCTTGTGGCACAAGAGCAAGGGGACGTTGGATGAAATTGAAAGGTGGCAAGCCAACACAAGGGAACACTTTTGCAAGCAGGGTAACGAGCCTGTGGAACTTCCTGCCACATGATGTCAAAAAAAGCCTGGATATTTATACGGCTCCAGAGTGGAAACACCTAACTTCTACACACCACTTTGCATCAGTGGATCGCAAAGCGCTGCGCCATCTTTACCGTATTTCTCCTCAGGGCCGGCTCCAGGCACCAGCTTACCAAGCAGGTGCTTGGGGCGGCCACTTCAGAGAGGGGCGGCACGTCCAGCTGTTCGGCGGATGGTCCCTCGCTCCTGCTCGGAGCGAGGGACCTCCCGCCGAATTGCCGCCGCAGATCGCGATCGCGGCTTTTTTGTTTGTTTGTTTGGGGCGGCCAAAACCCTGGAGCCGGCCCTGTTTCTCCTCATAACACCCCTGCGAGGTAGGGATATTCCTTACCCCCATTTTGCCAAAGGGGGAACTGAGGCACAGAGAGGCTAAGTGCCGGTCTCCCAAGTCCTAGCCCCCTAAACATGGACCGTCCTTCCTCTCTGACTTACTGGTTGGAAGGTTTGTTAATCCTCACACTTCAAGCCACTCTATTAGAGATTGGGGGAGATCTAATACTTGGGGCGGGGGGGAAGCTTATCCCACCCATGGTGGGACCCCCTTCCTCTGATGCATCTAGTGCTGGACCTTGGACTAGAGGGACTAATTTCTGTGTTCCTACAGGCTTCATTTCCCACTCTGTGAGTTGCCCCCTGGTGCCCTGGGTTAAGCCTATAATATATGGAGATATACCTCTCGCAGAGAACTGGAAGGGACCCTGAAAGATCATCGAGTCCAGCCCCCTGCCTTCACTAGCAGGACCAAGTACTGATTTTTTGCCCCAGATCCCTAAGTGGCCCCCTCAAGGATTGAACTCACAACCCTGGGTTTAGCAGGCCAATGCTCAAACCACTGAGCTCTCCCTCCCCCTGCCTAACAGGTGGATGAGACAAATGGGCCGGCGAAGAGAAATCCCGGCTCTGTTAGCACAGACCAACTGCCAGCTCGGTTCCTAGCCCCAGCCGGAGAG